ACTATGGTGTGTCTGCTGCTGGTCATATCATCTTTCAGTACAGTAACAACTGTTGTGTTCTCTCTGAGAAAAGAAATGACTTTAAGATATAATCTGATAAAGTATTCCACAACAGACACTATGGTTTAATCATTATCATGAGCCTCACATTATGTGTCTGTGACTATCTGGTGCCAAAATGACTGTGCAAACTGTTAACATGCATCAGGAGCTAAATGAGGCCGGGAATTCCATTTGTAAACAAGCCATATGTTGTCATGCTGCCTAAAGTCTTAAGGGGAACCTAAATGCAAACCAGAACCTTTGAGTTGTGCTGAGGCTTCTGAGAACTGGAACAGATTTCAAAACTTGACTGCCCCTTATATTGACACTCACTGCCGCAGTAAATGACCACATCACACACACTGCCATGCAAACCAGCTTTAATCAACATTTGTTTTCTGTTTAAACATGCAGTCAAGAATTTAAAAGAACTTGTGTTACCTACAAACCTAATATACTCTCCACAAAACCTCCAGAAGATATACCATAGTACATAAGGACTATTTGAACACATATCTGGATTCAAACTCCATGAGCAGAACAGCAAAGAAGCTTGTAGTACATGTCATATAAGATGACGGAAAATTTCAGCTCTACATATACAGAGTTAACTGGTATAATGTTGTGTAACTCAGAAAGCTGCATTGTATTAAATGCTTAAGTACTAAAGTGTGCTGACCAGACCTATAGATCTGATGCTCCTGAACCTGTCATAGTGGCCCATTTAAGATTTTGTCTCAGCTTATTACTTGGTAAAATGTGTCACCGTAATCATCATTTTATCCTGCAGAGCTTCAGCATACTACAGTCAAAACATTCCCTCACTACTCTGCTGGAAATACTGTTCTTTCATCATTTCTTGCTTTTCATGCAGCTGTGGGAAGCGTAGTGCTTGACATTTAAGACTCACTCCTGAGATGCAGTAATCCTTCTTCTCTTGCATAAGTGATCGCTAAAACACATGCAGAAGGAAAGACTGTATGTTTCCACGGCACTAGATGTGTTGTGGCAACTCAAAAGAACAAATACACATATTATTTATACAGCTTTTTTGCCATTTTTGAGATCTATACATTATTTTAAAAAATGAAATTTTTTTCAAAATTCAAAAATTTATAGCACAGACATTTCAGTTATAACTTATTGGATTCAATTATAGCTGCAATCAAGGAAGAGTTTCTTATGGGGTAGTTATGAAACTCTCTGGTTACACATACTCTACCTCTGATTGAGAAAGTGACTAACAATTAAATCTATTTGACAGAACATGACTCTGTTTAGGCTAACTCTTAAATATAAGATTAGTAAGTGTGCTGCTCTTGAATTATTCTATTTCAATATTTCTACACCAGTGCTTTCAAAGTGGCAAAAGAGACTTACGTATGTTCTGCACTCCCACACACTCGCTATAAAGCCTGAGTGCACTCACTGAGCCATGGCAAGGCATTTTGTTTTAAAACTGTGCATTCCAAATATTTTACAGTAATGTTTTTCATTTTTGCTCTTAGCCTAGAACTAATCCCTATTTTGTATGGAAAGCTGAAGGGCATAGGCATTTCTTAAGAACTGAATTAAATATTTGTTTCCAGGTTCTTTTAATACTGTTTCATTTCTGGGCTTTGTTGCTACATTCCTCATTCCCCTCAGGTAGTGAGCATGAAATTAAGGAAGGGCTCTGTCCGCAGTAACGCATTGATTAAGACCTGATGTTTCCATTCTGAATGTGTCACATGTACCACATGCATGGATACCATCATGTATCTCTGGCTCATAAATAGCACTTTGCAGTAATCAAATTCAGTTTAACTGGTCTCCAATGACAACTGCAATAAAACTGAACAGGATTTACTTGTTATCTCTGTATGATTCATCAGCACCTTCTAAAAGTTCTGTATTATAACATGGTAATACTGTAAAACTGTAAGGATGGGACCCTGAACTTGTTTATATTTATTTGGGTTATTAAACTACAATCTGGTCTCAGGAAAAATGCAAAATGAAAAATGTGTAATCAGCAAAATAAGAAACCAGATGATTAATATATGAGTATTTGGTCACCGCAGCCTTAAGGAAAATTAATTTGGCAAATGATCTTATATCAGAGCAGTCCATTGTGAAAATCATTTCTGTTCACAATAGATGTGATTAATACTTTGTCTCATCTGAGGTACAACTAAATTCTGAATGTCAGGATTATGATATAAACTTTGAAGAATTTACATCATAATCCTTAATCTTCTTATCCTCTTTATGAAAGACCTCATTCAGCAGAACAATACAAAGGTGTTTCATCATTCTAACACACTGTATTCATTACAATACCTCTAAAACAAAAAACTCTGCTTCATTGCTAACTTTTGCTCATTTTCCCTTGAGTAGAAAGTCACAACACTCTGCTGATTCACATGAGTAATATGTTTGGTCTTTCACTGTGAGGTACATGAACTGCTGGCCTTCTGTCTACCCAAATGTCAAGGAGGACAATCTTAGCACATCAACAGAGATGTGGATAAGCTCACATGACTAACATTTATATTTGTGCAAAATTATAAAACCTCTATGAAAATATCAAGGTTGTATTACATTTCCCATTTGTACACGACTATCCTCGCAGAGTATTTTGTCTGCTATTCATGATTCATATTCTCAAAACCTGGACTCTGTGCAGATGATATGACAGCTCTGAGGAAAAGAAGAAAACAGATAGCTGTGTGCTTGGTTTGCATGACTGCAGCCTAGTTCCACATCTGTGAATTGTCAAGTGATTCAAAGAACTGGTGCTGTGTTTGTGTTTCAGATGCAATTGAGATTTTTCAGGTGAGACTAAGATGAAAAGCAAAATCCACTAATCCAAACTAATCTGGCATCAGGAAACGGATGCATCTCCAAGGCTGCTATTAATCTTCTGATGCAACAGGTCCTAAACTCTGTTCAAAAGAAAGATGTTCTGCCGTTCTCGTGCAGTGGATTGTAAGGAACTGGTAATTCTGTCTTCATCAGCCTAGCTCTGTTACAGTATGCAGCAGACTGGAGACATGCCACTTTTTATAAATGAGTTTGTTCTAAAAATGGGTGCTGAAATTGCATCTGCACATGAGCACAAACTTAACTGTTCCATTATGACAATTTGGTCTTGAGCTGAAAAGATTATTTTAATGATGATTTGTTCCAGTTTATTTGAAAATGGTTCAAAATGTCACAGAGTTTGGCTACAGGTGCAAATGCCAGACAAATGACTTGCACTCTGTGAAAGTAATACTGCAGCTGCTTACCTCTGCCAGTCTTGTCATTGTGCTCTTGAATGGGCTTGAGGTTAGGTTAGCAGGTGCTCCACTTACAGTAAATCGAGTGGTATTTCATGTTTCGCTCTATCAGTGAAGTTGAAAAGTAGAAACACAGCATTGGTGTTACAAAATAATCTCCCAGGAATGCGCAGTTGCATGAATTCGATTGGCAACTATGGTGAGGGAGGTGTGTATTTTTGCGAAGCTAAATTCGGGCCTCAAAGCATGTCTAACCCGTTCCTTTCTAGTATAACTCAGTTTGCTTTATGATAAAAGAACTGGTCCATAATTTCAGAAATCAAGTGCTTATACCTGATTAACACTGTAAGATGGAGTAAAAAATTGGCCATCATGAAGACAGGTGAGATGCAATATCATTTAAAACAGATAAAGTACATATTTTCAGACACTCTATATTTTTTTTAGTGTTGTTCACATGAAAAGTGACACAAATGTGTAAGAAATGAAAATGTGGTTATGAATGACAGATCATCAATTTCAGAAGGTTACACAAATGGTCGAGCACAGACCCCACTAACCCAAACTGTCCATGTCTATGTGTGGGAGGGGTTCTGAAACTATTTGACCATCTGACAAGCAGTTCTGAAGTATACTGGCCCCTGTAGGCATAACAAAGATAAGTGGCTTGGTTAGGGTTAAGTAGGGTTAGAATAAGACATCACAGAAGACAGGTTGTTATAGTTAGGGAAGACACTACTTTTGTATTTGCACAGTTCTTTTTTTATATAAACTGAACCAATTTGTAGTTTACACAATGTGTTTTTTTTGACAGTTTACCAAATACTGAGTGTTACTGTGTTCACTGGATGCTGAAATATCTCAGCACCAGTCAGAGTCCCCATTCAGGATGCAAAGTGATAGTAATGTAGGCCTATATGTTATGTTATTGTCTGATGCCTTACTAGACAAGAAGAGTTTATTTGGTACCATCCACTGAAGCAGAACCTGTGGGGACTGGACAATAACCCTCAGTGCAACACCTGTAAATATACCTCATACAGATTATACAGATTATACAGATTCGTACAGGTCTCTATTTTTAAGTATTCTGTTTTTATTCCTATTTATCTCATTTCACAATGAGCATTCCTTTGTCTGTCTTCATTGTTTACTGCCTGTTTATACCGCTTATTTTGCATCGTTTGCCCTGGTTGTTGCTTGTTAATACTGCTTATTTTGTTATATTACACAGCCTTATGCTGGTTGAATGTTTACTTGCCCCTTGCATGGGGATATGTACATACACATTGAGAGCCGATGTACCAGAGTCAAATTCCTCGTGTGTCCGACACACCTGGCCTATAAAGCACATTCTCATTCTGACCCAAAACCGGGATCCTAATCACATTGAGGGGACATGACATCATCGAATAAATCGTTAACCTTTAGACAGACGTTAGCTGACCTTAGGGTGGGGTTAAGGGTGAGACAACTCCTCGTTATGGTTAGGATAAATCTCTAGGAAATAGATGTTAAGTCCATTGAAAGACCCGCTGCGAGACAAAAACAAAGATGAGTGCGCGTACGCACGCGCGTACTCCCCTCGGCCTCCCTCGCGCCCCACCTCCCCCTGCCCTCTGACCAATCAGAGCAGAGAACAACCGTTCGGGCCTCGCGACCGTAGAGCAGCAGCAGAGAGCGGAGCGAGGAGATAGTGGGGGAGGGTCACGTGTGTACACAGGCTCCGCAGCCCTCCAGCAGTAGTAAAGTCTGCTCGGACGGCCCCTTTCCAGATTAAGTCTAGTCCGAAAAGTTGATAGATGAAGAGCGACGCATCTTTAAAGCAGCTATTTTCAGGCTTTGTGAGCGTAGGGAGAGTCGATACGGTTATCTCAGGATGTCTGTTAGTCAAAGGAAACGACTGAGAAATGCCAGTGGTAATGCTACATCCAAACTTAATGCCTCCGTAGGTTTGTCATCGTGCCAAATCTATACGTTTCTGGTAAGTGTTCCTCTCTTGTCTATTATTTCTATCAAAAAAATGCGCCTGGTTTTCCTTCCAGTGGTGAATACAAGTGAATTTGCCCCGTTAAAGAGGACTAGATGACAGAGGGAGTTGTAGTTGTGCCAGCAGCCGCAGAAATGGCAGAATAATGATAAAGCTGTGACAGCGATCCACGCTTTGATCTGTGCAGTCAAGTGTGATGGAGAGACTCAGTGTGTGACCATAAAAACAGACACGATCAAAGTTTTATCACTTAAGTAAGTGAGTGAAAAGGTTTTTCATAAGCAGTTTCAAAAAGCAGCTTGAATACTCTGCCCTACTGCTCTTTACACGAACAATAGCCCATTTCTGGTTGACTTTGCATCTTCCATTGAGACCTAGAAGCTAATGGGCTGTCACAGTGACTGTTTATTCAATGTCTATAACTAGTAGGCTGCAGGATATTTAATGTCTATAACTAGTAGGCTGCAGGATGAAGACAGTCACGCTTAAACCCAGGCATTCAGTTTAGTTTGATATTTACATATGTGCAGTGTTGTGATTTTGAATCATAAAATATAAGCTTATAAACTTTTAGAAGCATAATATCAGTATTGTGTGAATAGTGGTACAAATGACAGTGGTAACATGATAGTAGCCTAACATTTTATATATGACAGCCTGGCCATATTTCACATCAACTGTGAGGCTCTCTGAGTACTACTTTCTGACAGCGGCTCTGCTCAGAAAAGCCACCAAATTAAACACTTCTTGACACCTAGGCTTTGCACTTGTTGTCTGCTTCATCCATATGAGTGAAGAGGACATGAGTGTGTGTGACATGGCTTAATGGCCGTAAGCCTGCTTTGTGCTGACCACTGAACTCATGACTTTGTGGACTCCTGTGACAGTTTAACATGCTGCCAGAAAGGAGCTGAGGAGGCTGTCGAGACTGCACGTGACCTGTGCTTGACCAGAGTTTCCTGTACTAGAATTTGATAGGAGGAAATCCTGTTTTCCCCAGCAGATGTGACAACACCCTCTGTGCAACAGTGAGCCAGTGAAATCAGAAGCATTTCTTTGGTTATTCAAATCAAGATTTGTAGATTAACAGATTAACAAGAAGGGTGGTAGGCAGGCAGATTATTCATTTGTACAGTTTGCCACACTCAAAAACAAGGTATGTTTCCAACAAGTATAAATGCCAGTGCTGTGACTCAATTCTCAGGGGAATGATAATGATTTTGGGAAGCTGTTCAGCATTATATAAAACCACTGAGAGCTCAGTCCTTGTAATTTGCAAAATGTTATGCAGCATTAGCATACACCTGAAGTCATATCCCACATTAATACTCTCACTTAAAGAGTTTCAGGCAACTGAGAAATGCACTATAACCAGAAGAGATGCAGGAACTTTGTAAAATGAGTCATTTACATCTTAATGGCATATCATACTGTAAGTAGTTTTGTGGGCAGTTACTTGGAATGGTACACTGTTATTTTCAGGAACATTACATCCATCAAATGTCACTGGGCAACACTTCACCTCTGACGCTGCACAGTCAAAACATGTGTAAAAGTGAGTCACATGATCTTTTCTTTCTGTAGTATTTCTTTTGCTGCTCTGCTTGCACCCTGCTGCACACACACAACTAGACACTCATATGACACCACTTTCTGAGAAGGACTTGTAAATTCCTGTAAGGATATACGAGGGGTGTGGGACCAGTATATGACACAGTACTCCCATCAGCCGCTAGAGCTTGTTTCAAAATGTTGAGAAGTCAAGCACATAGACGTCACTCTGACGAGATTATGTTTTACTGGGGCTGAAGCAGGGCCTCCCCCTCTGGGAATATTTAATGTGACCACTTTTGACATGGAATAATCCAGAACGTCGTGAAGTTGAAGCAGTGTACAACACAAAGTATAATGACTTACTCGGTCTGGTCCGGAGTAGACATTTTCCTCTTACCTTGCCTGTTTTTCCCTCGACTGAGTGGAAAACTAGAGATTTCATTATCACTGGCTGCAGGGAGAATGTGCAGAGTGAAGTGCTTTAACTTTAACAATACCAAAGTCGCCCAGAGTGGATTGATGCAGACGGTACAAAGCTAGAAGTGGTTGTTCATAAGTGTGTCAGAAGTACACTGTATAACTGTGCCTTGAATAGTTTGTCCTATAGGTGTAAATGAGAGGGTGTGTGATTTTTGAGAAGAAGGGCCTAATGGCTTATCATGAAGCAGAAGATACAACAGTGCATTATATCAAATTCTGTTACCTCCAGAAGTTAAACCCAGGAAATTCGAGGTTTCAGTTTCTACTCACACCATGGCGTTAGTTTCCATCTGTACAGTTTTGTCCTTGTCAAGGTCTTGTTTCAAACATGGCTGATCATGTCTATAGAGGCATAGGAAACAGGAACTATTTCTGAACAAATCATTCTGAAACCGCTGGCCTTGTTTCCGGAGTACTTGATCTGAAGTTGTGATCACTGTAATCTTCATCTTACTTTAGAAACAAAGTCAACTGTAATTAAACACCAGTGCACTGAAAAAACATGACGCCTTTAGATGCAGAATTATGAGGTGCCCTGCATCTACTTGAAGCTGCAGAGTGAGCTGATGTGGTATTGAAACGGTGGCAGAGATGTGTGCATACAGATGCTGACGAGTTGGGACCGCCACCCACAATGCAGTGGGCTCTCTTCAAGTAATCAACTTTTCTTAAAGTCATTTTCTCCTTAAAGCTACTCTGATTTTGTTTTAGCTGCTAGAGGGTCTAATGAGACTCAAACTGACACCATGAACTGCTTCTAACTGATCCTTGTCCCTCTCATCATGTCCTGTTTCCTGGCAGTGATGCAAACTATGGATGCCTGGTACAAAGTGTACAAAATACAGTCTCCAGTCTGAGGCTAGCATTAGCTAACTAAAGAATACATTTAGCAATCCAGTAGAATGATCTGGCTACTTTTCATGTTGCACAAAGCTCAAATTACTCCTAAATTCAAATAATATTAATTCTGTACAAAGGTAAAGTCACGGCCTTGCTAGGTCCCTAATGCTTTAGATGCCAGTGCATTCAGAAGGAAGAATACCACATCTGAGTCACACATGAGACCTTTGGCTGCTCTCCATTTCAAATAGCCAAATCGATGTTAACGCTGGTTTTTGCTCTTTCTTTGTCACACTCTCTCTGCAACAGAGCTCCACCTCTTTAGTCTGGCAGACACTGTTTGGGAATTTAGGCAGAGGAGAGCACTTCCATGGCTGGCAGCTTGAAATGATCACTTGCAGTTGGTAAAAGACTTCTTATAACCTTCACTAGGTTATAGGTGGGGCTAATTTATGGATCTGAATTTGAAAACACTCAGAAAAGAGTGGCGTAGTATAGAGGAGTTGGACTTGGAGTAGTATAGAGGAGGGACTGAGCTGTAGTGTGTGTGCGCTCACGTCAGTGTCTTAGGCTTAAGGCCAAAACAACACTTCTGTAGTGGAGTTACATAAGTAAATGGAAGAATAGTTCCTCTTTACTGGCATTGTTACTCATCCTCCTGAGAACAAAACTGTTTTCTTACATTTTTTCCAGGGTTTCTTGGGCAGAGGTTTCCAGAAAATTCTATTCAGATTAGCACATGTATTTTTATATTGTAGGAATTTAATGTTTTATTCTTAAGAGGATCATCAGTTTTTTCGGGGGGGGGGGGGGGAAAACCAATGTCCAACAAAACAATGGGGGGGGGAGAGAAAACAAAAGCCAAACAAACAGCCACATTATCAGTGAGGAAACAAAATACAATGAACTTGGGTGACTTATCACTGCAGTCCTGCGATACCCCGATGATCTTCCTTTTCCTTGACTAGAGCTATTTGAATAATTTATTTAAAATGAACTCAGTTAATTATGCAGTGGAGCATTACATAAGTCTTTCAAAACTTGCAGTCCCATCAGCCTTGTTACCAAATGCCGCTGACATGTGCGTGGTCGTTTTCGTTGACCTTGCCATGACCTCCAACCCCTGGACTCGATCCTCACATAAATGCTTTCCTCAGAGCAGAAGCACTGCAGCACTCTGTAAAATGTTCTTTATCTGGCTGCTTGCCCGTGTGAAAAGCACAAGGGCAGCTCTACAAGGCAGCAGTGCCCCCACATGTGACAGTGATACAGGAAGAAAGAGAGGCAGAGCCAGAGCCAGGCAGGAAGAGATAGCAGAGGTGTCAGACAAATACAGTTTTGTATTCTTACATCAGGACAAGGGCTACATTTGCTTCTGGCCAGTGTGGTTCTCAAACTGTGGGCTTTGAGCCTGAGCTAGCAAACCAAATATATTGTGAGGCATTTATATTCAGCAAGTCAAGTTCAGTGAAATGAACTTAACAGTGTTACACTGGATTCACACTGACATTTGCCCTGCATTAAAACAGCACAAGGAGCTGTGTTGTAGGGGGAGTGATGTTTCAAATACAGGTGAAACAATGAAATATGATCCATGAAGTATAAACGGAGGAATGGATTTATGTGTCTATACTATATTTATGTGGCTATTAGACACAAAACAGCACAGAACTTTATAATATTGACAGACAGAATTTTACAACCCTGGAAACCTATCACAGCAGCAACTGTTTCATCTTTGCTTGTGACAGTTTCAAGGTAAACAGCAGTAATATGGTGTTCAAGTTACAAAGTTGCCCACCAGGAATGCATGTTTGCATGTACGTGATTGGTCCATATGTTGCCTTGCAGGATGACATCACAGTACATTGCAGAAAACTTGGAGCCAGAGCCAACTTTTTTTCCACACAGCATATGTGCTTTGAAGGAGCCCGCCCAGGGTGCCAGTCTGTGTGTAAATGCACTTTCTCCATGAGAATGGCTGCAATTTATATGCAGGGAAAATGTCTGTATGAATCATTGTACGAGTCACTGTATGAATTTGGGTCAACCCTCTTCCCCTATTTCAGTTCAGCAGCAGGGTTATGTAGTTGACACATAGAGGACCTAAAGAAGTTGTGATTCATTACACAATATTATAAGAGCTTAAAAAGAAGCAGGGACACATCACATGCAGTTCCATACGTTATAGGAACAATATGATGGTTAGACCTGAGGAAAAGATGAAAATGATAGCGGTTGATTCTGGGTATAATGTCTTATGACAGAAACATTTTTCAAAATCAGCACTGTCTCAACTTTATGCACAGTCCAGGGAAAACATGGAAGAGCAGCTTTACACACTTTGCCAACATTGCTGACGTGTAGTCTGGCTGCACAGCAGAGCCTAACGAGAGTCTAATACTTGTCATTATACATTTTGTGTATCTTTGAGGTCTAACAAACAAGTTGAATGTATTTTCTATCAACAAATACATATGAAAAAGCTATAGTGAAAATATTCTTGGACAGTATCGCTCACATACTGTAGGTATATGGTACAGTGTTCAGAGCTGAATAGTTGTTATACAGGGAAATGAGCAGTAAAACTAACTGAATGAAAGTACCACTAGTCCTACACAAATTATTGTTAGACATGGTAATTGATCAGCAGAGATTGGAAATGGACATCATAAATCGCCGGTCTTCAGCGTGATCGGATTTGACTAGTGGCCAGTGGATCACTGAAATATCCAATTCTGTGCCGGTCAGATTTATAGAGGCATGCAGTGGCACAGACCAAAACTGTAGCACGTGCAACGCCTAGCCTCTGGCATGCACCTTGGGGGAGACTCGTCCTCGCGTCTGTACTGAGTGTGCATTGGAGGCGCTTGGTGTACAAAAAGCGCACAGAGGAGCCTACGGAAACACCTTGGAGAAGAGGAAACTACATTATAATCTCTGACAAAGAGTACAAAGTGAGGGAATTACTGCATGTAACTTGAATGAAACTGCAGTTCCTTGAATGGCCACTTGAGGCTGGCTTCAAAACGGAATCAGTCCCCATAGACTCTCATGTTAAACTGTTTACAGCCTGGTACAAAAAAATGGTTTTGGTTACTTTAGCTAAGTTTCCTTTCCATGACAACTGTATGGGGGGTGATTTCTTTATTTTTTTGTAATTTGCCCATTTAAATTATATTGAGACTAAAAGTTCTGCATAATTAAAGGCATGACCACTTTGAGTGACTGGCGGGAGGCTTCTGCATAGGTGGCTGGCCACTAGCTGTCTTCAGAGCTCCACTCACACTCCGCCACTTTGCCCATTTCTGGGATAGACTGAGCGGGCAAAGTGAAGCGCTACCAATATGGCAATGGCCAAAACCACTCTCCGTGGGTAACACTTCAAACTGTGTAATAGACATTCTTCTGTTTCTATTACCTGTTGCACCTGTTTATTATATATGTAAAAGTACAAATGTTGCATTTCATTTTTAGTTGGTTTCTAAAGAAAAAAGAGAGAAAGAAAATGTAATACAATGTTTTGCTTTTATTACAATTTAAGTTTTCATTAAAGAAAAGTTGTGTGAGTATGCTGTTAATTACAGTTCAGTACAAAAAGATAGAAAGTCAGAATTAGCAAAGAAAACTGCAGTGCATCTATAGTTATATCATCAGTGTCAAATCACAGAGTAAGCAGTATCACAGTATTTGATTGTATTGTAATATAGTATTACTGCTAAATGACATTTATTATCGTGGCAGCAACTAACGTCTTCCTCCCCAACTCTCTCCCTGCAGTCGAACTGTTGAGAGTGCTTGACCTGCGTCAGAGCCCAGCAATGTGGATCTGCATGATTTACAATGAGACGGACAGCAGCGTGGACATCCGGCTCTGCCAGGACTTCGGCCTCATTTTGTCAGTCCTCTCCCTCATCTACCTCCTGGTGTGCTTCCCACTGGGGTTGTGCTACAATGTGCTACTGGTCGTGGTCAACCTTTCCAACAAGGTGTCCATGACCATGCCGGATGTTTATTTCGTTAACATGGCCATTGCAGGCCTTGTGCTCAACCTGGTGTCACCCGTGGAGCTGCTGAGCTCCACCTTCACCCGCTGGCATGCGTGGGAGTACAACAATGAGGTCTACATCACCCTGCTCATCCTCTTCAACATCTCATCTCTGGTCATCATGTATTCCACCACGCTGCTCAGTCTTGACTACTACATAGAGCGGGCGCTGCCTCGTACGTACATGTCCAGCGTGTACAACACCAAACACGTTTGTGGGTTCATCTGGGGTGGCGCGGTGCTCACTAGCTTCTCTTCGCTGCTCTTCTATGTGTGCAATCACATCTCCACTAAGATGGTGGAGTGCTCCAAAATGCAGAACAAGGAGGCAGCAGACACCATCATGATGTTCATTGGCTATGTGGTTCCAGCTGTGGCTGTTCTCTATGCATTTGTGCTTATTTTGCGCATTAGAAAGGAGTCCACACCTCTGGATCAGGACTCGGCTCGCTTGGACCCTTCTATCCACAGGTTGCTACTAGCTTCAGTCTGTGTGCAGTTTGTACTGTGGACCCCATACTACATGACCCTGTTGGTACACACCATTGCTGGTGCACCAGGGTACATTAGCAATGCACAGTACTTACCTACCTATTACTTTTTGAGATGTGTGTCTAAGTTGCTGGCTTTCTCTAGTAGTTTTGCAATGCCTCTCATGTACAGGCAGATGAACAAGAACTTCTCCAACAAGCTCCAGCGGCTACTCAGGAGGCTGCACTGCGGAAACCAATCGTGCCCTCACGAACGCTCAACAGTGCAGCAAGTGGTGACGTGAGCTCACCTCCCTGGGAGCTTAGCAACGCCCCTCCCACTCCCCTTTTTCCACCGACACGTATCTCCCTGCCAACAAAGCCAGTATCAGACTGGGCCCCCTCGCTGCTCTGGACTGTTTTAAGAGCAACGTAGCTAACTGTGGAATCTCCTGTCACCTTCCAGAACTAGATGTGTCCAGCGCTGCAGTGACAGGACAGAGCAAGAAGAAACCACTAAGTGCTGATATTTTTTGTCACAGAGTAAAACTCTACTAAGACACTTGGGCTTCTAGTTTGAGAGTGTTAAACTTGGCACAACCAGCCAGTAACTACTCAGTGTTTGCTCTGTTTTATACAAAATACCCCATTAGAATGGGAAGCCCAAGCACTATACCATTGCACTGGGTTCTGTGTTATGAATATTCTGCTAAAGGTGTGCATGTTTGACTATAGCATGACTGACTAAATATCAGTGTATAGGTCTCAGTACAGTATATTTTTAAATCTAGTGATTCTCTCCATGATGCTTTCACCTAACACACAAGCAGAACCCTAAGGTATAAACTTCAATTATCAAGTGAAGCTAAGCTCTTTTGTTTCTAAGGAGAAATCAACAACCTTGCACTGATGGATGTTGGCTGCTCTATCAACAGCTCACCACAGCTAATGAATTTGCACTGTGTGCCAGCATTGCAACATTGTGCCTGCTCACTGCCCTCAAGCTCCAGGCCTTGATCACTTGAATGAAAGGACTCTTTCTTCTTTTTACTTAAATGCATTGAGAGTGATTCCTCATTATCAACAGTAAATTACTTAATGGTTTCTTATAGAAATTGTAGCTTACCTTCAGAAGCTATTTTCTTTACTGATAGCACTACTTCCCTGTAGCTAGAAATAGCTACTCATATAAAGAGATGTTCTCATTTCACTTTTATAGATCGTGTTCTGAGGTTTTGATCTACTCACAGACATAAGGATAATATTCTTTGCATATGTCAAGCTCCACATCCAGTATCATAAAATCAACATATGTTCATTCACAGCACATTGAAGTCACACAGTACTGCATAAAAATGCTTTGTATTCAGGGTTCAGACATAACCAGTATACCTCTTATGATCTCTGCTGAAATCGCATCACCTGTTACCCATAAGCTCTAATTTTCTTGAGTTGAAAGTTTCAGCCATTATGTATTTTGTTAAGCTGTGCTTCTGCAGGAATTATGTATGTAGTGCCTCACACAGTCAGTGAAGTCCACACAGTGTCTCAGAGACAGCCCTGAGTAGATGGCATGTACATTCTCTGAGTTGAATGCACACTTGTGAGTGGTTGGGAGGTTTTGTCCAGTGGAAATATGTAAGGGGACTTTGGTCACACCAGAGGCATTATCAGAACTTGCCTGCCAAGCATTTGCAGACAGGGTGTTTGCCACAGAGGTAGAGTTTAAACTGTAATGCTGCTCAGATGCATTAACGTTTGGCAGTGCTGCTTTGCTTTCTTGTTTGAAACTTGGTGATATGTGAACAGACAGCTGTGATAGTGATGAAGGCAGTTAAAAGAACAGTTAAAAAGTTGTTCTTGCATGAAATCTGTCACATCACTGCATGTCTTTGGGTTTTTTTTTTTTTTTTTTTGAATGAGAGGGCCAGTTTATGAATCATCCCATGAACAGAAATGCGAAGTGGGTGGGGCATTCACTCAAAGACAAATGAAAGGTGGACACACTCTTATATCCTACTCATAGACAACAATAAATGATAGTCACTTGTCTTTTTAGACAAGTTGTAATTTACACATTTAAATAAACAATTATTTTTGGATTTTACAAAACGATTGGCAGATGTACTAGCAGTGATTTGATGTTTATCATATATTGTTATCATATGAAGTTAATATCATGTATATAACATCACGCATACTGTATTTTTGAACATCTCATGTGCTGTGGATACTTTGTCTATGACTGAGGGATGAAAGTGTACAACATTGTAATTTTCGCTGCAGAGCCCCACTCTTGTTATGCGTATCTACAATCAATCAGTTGGAAGTACTTTCAATTTTCAGCCGAAACTGTGTGTTTATATTATACCCCATTCAAAAAAAACAAAAGGCACATATTGTGATAGAGTTAATCATTATTTGAACGTGGTTCAAAGGTCCAAATGATTACTGGTAGCTTTGGATCGAAAGACAAACAGTAGTACATGGTCAACTGATAAGTGCTGTAAATCTAATCTTGTAACCCTGTAATGGAGGAAATTTAAATAACATTTCCTAAGGTGGTGTCCATTTTAAGTGCAGAAGTGGTGCACCACATAGTTCATTATTTTTACATGTCTAATTAGGAACAGCCAACAAATTCTCAATTTTGGAACCAAAAATGCTAATAAAAATGAATATTTAGATCTAGATTAGAATCCACATCAAACTGCACAAAGTGAATGATAATCTTTTGCCAAAAATCCATGATGACATTTTTGTAATACCTTGCTAAATTAGAGATGTGACTTGCCAGAGGTAATAATTAGCAATGACCACAAATGGGTTGAATGCATGATATTCACAACTGATGAAGTTTGACTGCTCAGGAGTTTGGTTTGTTATTTCAGAGGGTCCATAATATCACATCAGTGTAAAGAAATACATGTAATAATCACTGAGTTTGGTTAAATTACTGAAACAGACCAAAAATCACCCTCAAAGTTCTCATGTCGAATGTATACAGATACGTTATAGCTCTTTTAACAGCAAAACCTCACAATTCTGATGCTTTTGTGACTGTATACAAGTGTATATGTATAATTCAAAAATAATGTGTATATATTGTATGTCAGAGATTTACAAGAAGATACCATGCTCTTTCAAAAATTCAGTATTATTTTCTGAGATATATATTTAGATTCTGTAAGCAACTTTCAGCTGAGTCAAAGACTGATTAAACAATAAACTAACATGGATGTTACCATTCCTTATCGCATTGAAATGTACTCAGTTATGTGGAAACATGTTGAAACATCTGCTGTGTTCTTTGTTTTTGAAATCTTCTTGCAGCAACTTGTTACAGAGGGACCATTTTTGGAATTGGTGCTTTGTCCTCCAAAAATGTCCCTTCAAAAGGAAACACCTTTTTTTTTTTTTACTTCTTAGTTAATTAGTAGGTCTTGTATTTATCTACAACTCAAGTGAACATCAAATTAAAATACTCTTAATTGCAGCTCTTCAACCCTCTAGTCCTGCGATCAGGTCAGGGCTGTGGGCAGCCTGTCGAGGTTGTTCCTTTCCTCAGTGGGTGACAGTGGGTGTGAAAGATGCCACAGCTCCCTCCTGCTCACACCGCTACCAGCCGATTGCTTGTTGCGAGACCCTTTAGCATCCCAAGTGTACTGGGAATTATTTTATCTTCTGTCAGTCTGACAGTCCAGCGCTGCTGCCATTCTCAGTGAAAACAATGTTGTGTAGGTAGGCTACATCTGATAACACTGCACTCTGAGAGCTGGGTGGCATCTGCAAATATTGTTAAGTGCTGCAACAGGAAGCTTTCAGGATGGAGATGATGGGGTGACAGATAACACCAACTGGGGTAAGGTACCTATCTTGCAGGGAGAAGTAATCATAATGCATCAGCTGTTGTTACAACTACAGCAACAGACCCAGCAACAATAACATTGCATTGTATTGCACAATACTATTAACAGTATCCTTAGTACTACAGCACAGAGTCAAACATAAGAGGTCTGTAAGGAGAGGGAGGCCTTGAATTATACTGGTTGTACTACATCTGGAAATGATACGACGATGGAGTGAGTTGAACATGGCTGTCATGGTTGCTGTTTTCCCCTGTGAGTGCTGGAGTTTGGGGGGCTTTGACTTGACTCTTGTTAGCTCTAGAAAACTAACACAAAGAACACAAACTATCAGGCAGTGTTAATCTATTTATGTGTTGTTTTTGATTTTTAAATAATAGCAAGCTAAATTTTTAGATGCGGGGCAGCTGAAAAAGTATGTCAGAAGTTTGGAGTGACTTTTTACAGGGCTGTAAATGCACTTAAGACAAAAGGTATTAGTCCTTGAAATTACTTAAGGTGCCAGCCATTCATATCACTACATAAACATTTGTTAATTCGACAGCTGGTTTAGTTAAAACTGACATACAATGAGGCAGTACTCCTGAAAGAGCTAGGTCTAGCACATACTATAGGTAATCAACCAATAAAGTATTATCTCAAAATGTGTTCAAGTGATTTACTTTCTTGTCTTTATAGAGACTGTCGAGCTTTAACGCTAGCCTGTGTCTGTCCAAGATTGCTAATTAACATGTTTTATTTTATCTATTTTTATAAAAAGCTGTGTAAATAATTCACCATTTTACAGAGGGTTATGTCCCTGACTATTTCTTGGATGGGAGCAGTTGTCAGGTAACCAATGGAAACATGGTAACTGTCTCCCCTTTCCAGTCTTTGTGCTAAGCTAAGCTAAGCCAACTTCTGGCTGTAGCATTATATTTAACAGGCTGATACGAGACTGCGCAAATGAGCATTTTCTCACAGTGCCTATTTCTTACTGTTAACAATATGCAAGTAATCTGTCAAGGTAATTTTTAAGCAAAATGTTGCCAGATATAGTTTAAATGCAGTGTGCCTCAAATTATAGGTTTCACACTGTTTTCCTCATCTTGCATTGATCCAGAGTCTACCAGGAAAAGCTCAGTGTTTCTTTCTTTAGAGGTTCAGCCAAAATAAAAGCCTGAGAGTCAACTTTAGTCATACATGCAGCATCGAGGATCCAGACCACCTTGGTAGTCAGAACATTTGGCTTGTGGCTTTAAATATTTTATTTGGCTGTCACACAACCCTAGACCACCGTAGGTTTTCTGAATGTGGGTCAAATTGGACTGAAGAATGTAAAGACAAGCACAAGGCAAGGCAGGCTACAGTTAGTGTCTTATTGTAAAAATCAAATTTGTGATTCAGTATCAGAGAGACCTGACCGCAAAGGGACTGAACAATAATCAAATAGTCAAATAGCATAGGTTGGGAATCTTGAGATTATACAAGAGAAAGAGAACAATGCAATAAATATGTAATGAGATCAAATAGGAAAGACTACCAAATGCAATAAATCGGGTTCAGAACATTGAACTGATTGTTGTCCTGTGTCATGTAACCTATCACAGCTAGTTCTGCTCAGGTGTGGCTGGCACTTTGAAAGCTCCTACAATAACAAATCTTACAGAGACGCCAGGGAGCAGTGTTCATCTTAGATGCACCACATCACTTCAACTCTGGGGAGACAAGTGGGCTGGGGCAGATGCTTGAAAAACAATCCACTTTCCCTCCCCTGCTGGTACTGTTCTTTGCTTTCAACTTCAAAAAGGAGAGCAGAGAATTAAAAAAAAATTTTTTTTTAACAAAATCCTAGCATCAGCTAAATATCAAACCTGGCCCTGGAAGCTGTGCAGAGGAGCTGGACTGTGCAGGATGTTCCGTTCGGAGGTTGTGGTTGTGGCTGTGGGAGATGTCGGATGGAGCCAGCAGCACATCAGAATGGTAAGTGGAGGCAGACAAGGGTGTTGTACCCTCCCTCCTCTAGACCTCCCACTTTCACTCCCCCAACCACAAGCAGTTAAACCCCACAACTTCCCATTAACAACACTGTTAATGTCGTCTTGCTCATTAGATGTCACTGGATGTTGTTGTTTTCTCTTTTAAGGGGAAGCTCTTCAACAGACAAGAAAGCAATAAAGTTATTATAATAATAGGGTTTTACAGTTATGGTAGGTCTTGTGGTTATCATAATAGCAAAACAAGACCAAAGCTTTGCCATCTACCATATAATTCAATTACGTACCCTTCAGCCTCTATGAAGGTTTCAGAAGACAAAATTCTAACTGATGACTTCACCTCTTGGTGCAGAAAATCACTTTCATGAATGCCTGTCATAACCACAACAGTCATTTCTCTGATTCACATCAGCTTGTGCTGTGATGCTCCTATTTTCTTCATCTTGCCGAGCATTATTCATTGTTTATGCCAGTGCGCCACCCAGTGGACATAAGCAGGGAGTTAATCCTCACTTACAACCCAGAGCAATTGAACCAAGGTCTGACCAAGAAAGAAGCTAAAACATAGTATCGTAAATTCCGAGTCGTAGACATCATGATAAGAAAAAAAAGCTAGGCTAATCTAAGAGGTAGGAGATGTCATGCCAGACTTTTTCAGCCATGTAACTGTCAGAAAAAGACTTAAAACAGAGCAACCAGTCACTATAAATAATACTGCTGCAGCACACCTTGCTGTTACTTCAAGTGGTTTATATTACCCTTTCCCACTCACATTTACACAATCTCAGCGATTGTTGGCACACACTAGGTCCTTTTTCTGGGAGCTGGTCTTGGAAGTACATTTTCCAGATGAGGCTCACTGTTTACTTAACCTTATGTTACTTTACTTAATCAGATCTTTGGAAGAAATCCTAGAATCAGTCAATGCCACAACTCCTCTCTTTAAGGGTTTTTATATGTTTAAGTAAGTACTGATAGATGCTCCAAGTCTGGTCTCTGTTGGACTTTGAACATTGGTATGCTACCCATAGAGTGTTTGATGGTGGCATGTATGTCTAAGACCTATGTTCAGCAAAGTTATAACAAATATAACCAATTTTACCTGCTCTGCTTGAGTGCTGCAATTTGAGTCATACAGTACTCACTTTTCATCTTTTTATTATTTCATGTCATCGCTATTCAGGAAATTCTGCATGTGTTCCTTTCTTTCTTCTTTTCCTCTATCCTCCTCTCTTTGACAGCACCTTTCCACTAGACTGACCTCCATATCCCCACATTCCCCTTATCTGTGTGAAGTCATGCAGACTGAATAACTCAGATTTCAGGTATCTGAGAGAAAATCACACAAATCTGACTTTAGAATAGTTTAGCGACTCTGACTTTGGTCCTCCTTCCCTTTCTTTGTCCTAGTTTCAGTGCTAGTCCCTAGATGTTCCTTGTCTTTGCTAGTCTGAACACAGGAGTGCATATAAATTTGTCTCCCACTCTACTGACAACAGTAAGAACAATAAAGCAGCCACAAACATGACTGGACAGCGCCAGTACATCAACTCATGATATGCACTTTAGCACAAGCATGCACTAGCCTACCTAGCACACTAAATAAAGGCAGTGATGCCCCATATCTCTGCAGAAGAAGAGACAATAAAAGCCTGATTTTTCGTTCTTAAAAACACTGTAAAGCAACGGGACTGTTGGAAAGCTTGTGGGATGCTATGGGAACAATCGTAGCTGAGAAAACATGTGGCCAAGGTATTGCAAAGGCAGGTTGGATATATGTCAGTTATCCAGTATGCCACGTGTTTAACAGTACACTGGAGTTGTTGGTCTAAATTATCAGATATCACATTTTTGATTAACAAAAGGGGTTTTAAGTGTTAGCATATACCTGATCAGTACTACAAGTCTTCTTCTGTTCACCACTGAGCAACAGTGTCTAGCTCATGAACATCACAAGCAATCCAGGGATTTCCAATTGACACATCCTAAAAGCCTACGCCTATCAATCCTACAGTAAATTGAAAGTGTGATGTTGCCTTACCAGGCTCTATGTGCAATCTACTGCAGACATCTCTACTGAGGTACATGCTTTCCTGACCATTCATCAAGAATCTTATGACTTCACTTATGTTCAAACTCCTGAAATGCACTCCCTCCACTGGCTTTCTGTTGTTGCCCAGATCACATTCAAAGCCCTGGAGCTGGTGCACAGCTCTGCCAAAGTGGCTGCAACCCCATTCTATACCTCCAGGCAATGATCCAGCTGTGGCCTTGACTTCTCTGTCCCCTCTATAGATGAAGTGACCTTCCCAACCCTGTGAAGTCCTCAGACTCAAACTGTAAATGAGGCAAACTGAATGTTGTACATGGTGTCATGGAGCATGGACACTTTATCCCATTGCTTTCCTTTAATCTTTATTAGACACATTGTTAGTGATTTCACCCAATTTTATATGGGGATCCCTAAGATATTTCCTTTCTTCAGTGGACATCATTATACTGTTTTTATAGCTGTATATTGATTATCAGTGAACAAACCTACATGATCAGTTACATCAATAGTATAAAAGTAAAATGATTTAGTATAACAACACCTTTAATATGGTGCAGTTGGCTCCATCTCAATATATATAGCTCTTTTGTAAAAGATGGTTATTGTGCATCTGCACTTCTTGTAGGCATCTGCGGTTAATTTGTTGTGGCTGTCAGAGACACTGCACTAGCCAACACCACATCAGGTAGGTCTCCATAGTCACAGTTTGGACACAGATTAGTTCAAATTATGTGTTACTCCTTGTCCAGAGGCAAAGAGTCTGTTTTATTTCTGGCTTATTGAGAGTGAAGACTCACAGGGTTTTAATTCTTATCTGAATGTAATTGTAGTATTGAGAATGAACATTAAATAAGCAAAGAACATTGTCTTCAATTGCATGTGTGAATCAATAAGCCACACAAATCAGTGAGTAAACTATTTTACAAACAGACTGATGGGAAAGCTAAGAAATGTCTAGAACAGTGTGCTTATGTGGAACAGTGGGGTTTCTTCTTCTTCTGTTGTTTAATGGCGATCACCTCCTAGACTGGAGTGTGGATCAGAACGGCCCCTATCTACTACTGCTATAATAAAATAATCTCACTCAATTGTACTCAGTCCAGTACTCTCTAAAAACCTAAAGAGTGCTTGGTACCCTACATCCCCTGAGCTCTTTTGCAACATCTCTTTTAAACTAATGCTCATGCCACCATTTTGAAATAATTCCCTTTCCTGCCTGAACTTTAGACAACTAAAAAAAATGCTCCATGGCTTCCTGTACCCTACAAAGCTCCAGTTCACCAATATTATGCTTCTTTAATTACTTCAATGTATATGACCAAACCTCATTCTTGAAATCATGTCTACTTCTTTCCTATTCTTAGTACTTCCTCTCATTTCTCCTACTTTCCTTGAATACTGTACCAGCCCTTGCTTTCTTTATCCCATAGTTCTTGCCATTTCTCTTTCATTTTTCTTTTAACTTAACTTTTAATCTCAGCCTTACTATAGTTAACTGCTACACAAACATCAGTTGTTGGGTTTTTTTTTTTAAGTGCAGCTGTTGAAAGCTATTTCAAGAATCATGTTCTGCCCTGATTCTGACTGAATCTACCTAGCACTCATTAAAGAGGTGCTTGAATCTGATCCAATTAGGATCTTTGTGCTGGCTCACCTGTGCTGATTACTGGGCGGGGCTGTTCCAGGCTGTAGCTAGGTACACAGTTATTTTGTGAGCACGGTTTTCTTGTCTTCGTCCTGTACCTGACGTATTGGTGCCGGCGTGGCTGAGGCTTTGTGTCTCCTCAAAGGCGTCTTTGCTGCTGCTCATTTCCTGGTTATATTGGGTGTTATTGTTTTTTTGGGGAAGCCAATTTTTTTTTTTTTTTTTTTTTTTTAACTTTTTGTAGCACGTCTGGTTTGCTCTATGGATTTAAGTGCTTCTAGGCAGTATTATGTGGAGGTAAGCGGTTTTGTCAGCTTGCTGACGTTGTCTGGCTTGTTGCCATGTTTTAAGAATAATGCTCTTCCTCTTTTGTGCTTCAGGTTGTGCCTCGGCTTCTGGCATGATTGATCCAGGTGGTGTGCTGTAGTGTGCTGATGTCCCCCACGTCAGCGCTCCTTCGGTGGAGGCTGCTGTCCTGGTTCTTCTGGGTGTTCTGGTTTCTCGTGTCGTGTGTGCGTGTGCGTGTGCGTGCGCGCGCGTGTGTGGAGGGGGGTCCGGGTTGACTTTGTCCTGATTTGCCTTTTCTTTCTCTTTTTTCACGTCGCTTTTTGATTGTTTGGCAGGGCTGTAATTAACCCAGGGCAAGACCCTTGCAAAACTGTGGGCTAATATTTGAGCTGGTAATGTGCGTCTTGTGGTGTTATAAATAAATGTTTTGTTTATATGGAGTCCCGTCTCTGCCCATCAGTGATGCGTTCCAGTATGGGTACCAGGGGTGAAATTTTCCATGAGGGTCGTTGTCGGAGCTTAATAACCATTAAATTGGTTTGAGCTTTGGGGCCGTTTTGCAACATAACTCCCAGTGTCTTTTATCACCTCGCCACATTTACATGAGCCCAAAACTAAACGATAGACAACCCAGGTGAACAAATATAAACTGTTTCCATAACAACACAACCTAGTCGAGGCAAACGCCACACAGGGCTTATTGTCCAAACTTTCCTTTGTGTTAAATTAAGCCATTCCTGGCTCGATTTTAGATGCTCAAATGACACCTGGAATCACAGTTTGGATTATAAAGAAAAGAGGCGGACAAGAGAACCTGATAAAGTGTGATGACAAACCAGGGGTGACAGATCATCCCTTTTCCTTCTGTCTCTCCCACCCTCCTCTCCTCTCCAGACAGGGTTGGGCCAAACAGCAGGTGGTGCAGAAGAGAAGCCCGGATATGGGATATACAAATCTCAGGCTCTCTGACTTCTGCACCGGACCCGCATGGAGGAGCAACAAATCCCAAATTTTAAAACGTAAGCTTGGTTTTAGGGTTATTGCATGTTTTATGTATTTCATAGCACTTTCAAGTAGCACCTAAAGCACAGGGACAGTTTGCATTGAAATTGTAGGGATACACTAACAATACTATATTTAGTTTCATTTGCAGTTAATGTGTCTGTTCAGTGTCAGTGCAGATGAAGCATTCTCTCCTGTCTTCTGAATCCAGTTACACAAGTTGTATATTATGTCATCCTTCAGTGTGTTCAGTGTTTCAAAATACCTTGTAGCGCTGCAAAACGACAGCTCGGGATCCATGTTTTGGGTGATTGGTATGAGTCAAGATCATTTGTGAATAAAACAGGAATATTGTATGATTAATTATAATAGAATGACTTAGATGGGTCATGAAAATTTAGCTCATTGCTCATTTGCAGTGTTTTGTTTTGTGGGAATTTGTACTCCCTGAAAAATTAAAGGGAAAGTCTGCTACTCATGGTCTCTTATTTATTGGAGCATATGCGTTGTGGCAAGGATTGAAAAACTAACCAACATTTTCCATGTAAGATTTCTTGCCTAAACATTTTATTCTGTTTTGCTTTCATGTGCATGCATTTTGTATATTTACTGGATATGTTATGAATGACTAATTGGGGAAAAAAAATTGATATTGCTGGAGGTTTTCTACTGGCACAAATAAACCCTAAGGGCTTTTAGTATTTGCTAAATGTCATGTTTGCCAAACAATGGCCTTTCTATTACCAGTGAATGAGATTTCGGCCTAAACGTATTCAATGGAGAGCTTACAGTAAATGCAAAATATGCATTGTTTTATGTACATTCAAAAGTGAGCCTGTGTGACTAGAACCATCAAAACAGAAGATTTAAATGTTGGTGGCAAATATTTTTTCATCTCTCCAATTAATAGTCAAACCTAGACAAACCGGTTCAAGTGATCTCAGACTGGTTGAGGGCTTCTAGGAAGGGTTTCAATGCATCTGTTTAAGTCTGAACCTTGAATGTTAATGTACCTACAGTACTTAGTTGTCTGCCATTTAAGATCCCTTAAATTACAAAAGTGGATTTGTGTTCCTTTTTTTTAACCTTAAGCTTTTTAAAAGGTACAATAAGTATATTACTGTTTTTGTGTTCTAATTTGAATGCACACAAGATTGTTGTTTATTCAAGTCTGCACACCTAATTCTCTCATGTTCTGATTTTACCCCCCACCCCCAACAGCTCAGGTGTCACAGCAACAGCATCTCTGGTCAAGGCTTGCTGAATAAAGATCCACATGGACTTGGAGAAACAAAGCAGTACTCAAATCAAATGACTTAAAAGAGGGGAATGAAAGTCACCCTTTAATCTCAGGTCATCAGTTTGGACAATGTGGATGACGTCAGTGATCAGATTACAAAAGGCAATGTTGATTTAAAGACATGGAGGTCCTTCTGTTTTGTGTCTGCAATCTAATAGCAGATGAATCTTAATGTTAACATGGGGTCAAACAAGTCATGAGTGCTTTGCTCCACTCCCCTGACTTCTTTCAGCACACCAAACTAGCATAGATGATTTAGCATTTAAAGAGATGTAACTGGGAACGAATATGATCTAATGATGTAGTAGGTACAGGTGACTTGTATGTGGCCTATGATTCAAGACAGTCCAACCGCAGTCAGCATGGAAGTGCAGACAACCTCTTTGGTCTGGTTATATGTTAACACTACAGAACAACTGAACACTTCGTATGATTACAACACAACGGATTTGGTGGAAAATGTAGACAAATACCCGTCTTACATTATTGGTCTCTTCCTGTCCTGCCTTTACACCATCTTCCTCTTTCCTATTGGATTTATTGGTAACATCTTAATTCTGGTGGTGAACCTGAACCACAGAGAGAAGATGACCATCCCCGACCTTTATTTTATTAACCTGGCTGTAGCAGACCTCATCCTGGTGGCAGATTCCCTCATCGAGGTCTTCAATCTGAGCGAGAAGTATTATGACTATGCCGTCCTCTGCACTTTCATGTCCCTTTTCCTGCAGGTCAACATGTACAGCAGCATCTTCTTTCTCACATGGATGAGCTTTGACCGGTATGTTGCCTTAGCTAGCTCCATGAGCAGCAGCTCACTGAGGACTATGCAACATGCCAAGCTCAGCTGTGGCCTCATATGGATGGCCTCCATACTGGCCACCCTTCTCCCTTTCACTATTGTGCAGACCCAGCACAGGGGTGAGGTGCAGTTCTGCTTTGCCAACGTTTTTGAGATTCAGTGGCTGGAGGTAACCATTGGCTTTTTGGTGCCCTTTTCCATCATTGGTCTATGCTACTCTCTAATTGGGCGCATCCTCATGAGGGCTGAGAAGCACCGTGGATTGTGGCCACGGCGGCAGAAAGCCCTGCGCATGATCGTGGTGGTGGTTCTTGTCTTCTTCATCTGCTGGCTGCCAGAGAACGTCTTCATCAGCATCCAGCTGTTGCAGGGCACAGCTGACACCTCACAGCAGACTGCTACCACCCTGTGGCATGACTATCCGCTGACAGGCCACATTGTTAACCTGGCAGCCTTCTCAAACAGCTGCCTCAACCCAATTATCTACAGCTTTCTAGGAGAAACCTTCCAGGACAAGCTACGTCTTTTCATTAAGCAGAAAGCCAGCTGGTCAGTAGTGAACCGCTTTTCCGACCATGGCCTTGATCTCCACCTCCCTGCCAGGAGCGACGTGTCAGCGGTGTGACTGCTAAAAAAAGGGATTATTTATAAAATGATGTATCACCTAGTGTGAAATATTGCCTCATCTTTCAACCGTGATGTAGCCCTGCCTCAGCTATACTAGTACCTGCTCACCTTCTGGTAAAAAAAAAAAAAAAAAAAAGCACCAAGGATGTGTACTCGAAGGACGGAATTCACTTGATGTGTGTATTTTTGAGTAGATAATATACTTACAGCACTGAAAGCTATTTTCACATTAATCTGCTATATATGATGGCAGGGCAGTAAAATGTTTGCATCTGCCCTGGGTGCTTTGTGGACATGTGAGGCGATCTGTGGCTGTGTTACAGTTAAAGCAGCATGTGTAGAGGAGATATTCTGCCACAAACTCTAATCCAACTTGACTGCGTGAGAAGGGTCATTTCAGGTAAAACCTGTATGTACTTGCACATGTAAAAAATAGATTGTGCTTATCTAGAAACTCACACATACACACCATCTACTGTACATCAGCACCACCATGACAAACTGTTACAAAAATTTAAATGAAACCTGCATTCAGTAGTACTGTGTTTATGTATTACACGATTTAACAAATAAAGGGTAGTGTAGCTGTAGCATCAGCCTTTTTCTGATTTGTCATATTAAAATTGCTGATCATGGTGAAGCTATCGGTGTGTTTAGAGCATATATGATGTGGTTTTTGAGAGCATAATGGCCATGTGTGAATATATTATGGTAAGTGTAGGAATTGATGAAGGCTCATTTCAGAGACGGCTGAGTTATTACCTCATTTGTCAGTCCCTGTTAGCATGATGGTAGAGCAAAGAGGCAGGTGGTGTTTTGCCAGGAGGGGATAAGACTGGGTAAACACATCATTCAGTGTTGGCGACATGAAGCTGCTTCAATGATGAACAGCAACAGACAGCAATCATAAACAAGTAGTGGGCCTTTGACGTACTATTTAAAACTAACTTTATCTGTGCATTTATGGCTTATTTCTATCTGCGAAAAAATTGGGCTAATTTCACAAAATTATATTAATACAAATGCTAA